TTTCCAAAAAAATGATTTTTAAAAAAAAAGTTAAAATCGTCACCAATTTTTGAAATTAAATTTGTGTTTAAAAACTAAAAGTAGAAATAAATATAAATAAAAGGGAGCTCAATGTGGATGGCTCTCGACAGGCTGCTTCTGGATGTATTGGTGCTGGAGGGGTCCTTCGAAATTCACTTGGAGAGTGGAATGGTGGTTTTGCTATTAATTTAGGGATAGGCCAGGTGCTGGAGGCTGAACTTTGGGGTCTTCTCTTTGGTTTGAAGCTTGCTGCTGATAGTAGAATGTCTAAACTCATTATTGAGATGGATTCTGCTATTGCAGTTCAACTAATCCAACAACACAATCTTCTCCTCCTTCATCCTCTTGCTACTTTGGTGTCCAGTTGCGTGGGGATTCTAAATAAGTTTGAGAGCTATGAGATTTACCATATTTATAGGGAGAAGAACACTGTTGCGGACAGATTGGCTAGTTGGAGTCATAACCTGGATTTGGGTTTGTATCTGCTTCATGAGGCTCCTGATTGGCTTGGCTCTATGTTGGTGGATGACCTACTGGGGTTGTCTAAACCTCGTATGATTTGTGTTGTTTAGTTTCTTTGGCTGTTGGGGGTTCTTACCCCTCCCTTGTTCACCAAAAAAAAAAGAAACATTACAATTACGGAGAAATTTAACATTAAAATTAAGACAATCTTGGTGCGCCTCCACTGAAGATCATGCGGGATTAAAGAAACTCTAGCATAGACATCTACAAAGATTTGTTCTAGAATTACACCATAAACAAGCTGAAGAAACAGAGAAGGAGACAATGCTGGAGGGAAAGCAAAGAGAATGGGAAGATGAGGAGGTCAAGAGGAAATGAAAAAGAGAAAAAGAATGGACAAAAAGTATGTTTGGCACCACCCAATGAAATCTCTTTTTAAGTCATTTCAAATTTGAAACTTCTTGTCAAATTCCATGTAACACAATATTTTCCAAGTCAATAAATCCATCACACCCAACGAGGCCTTGCGATTTGTATTGTATTGTTGTAAGTGTTTCCCACTTTCTCGGTTAATGAGTGATGTTTTACCTTCTTATCAAAGTTTCAACATTTTCATTGGGTTTAAATTAAGGATAAAAAACATTTTTTGGTTATTGGGGTTGAACAATTCTAATCATAGTGATTCTAATTTTTCCAATTTCATCATCGCATTTGCAGTGGTTAATAAATTAAGTCATATTCGTCAATTCTGTCAATTTGAGTGCATGTGATGCTTGTTTGTATGGGCTAATTTGTACTTCCACCTTTCACTTAATAGAGACTTAACTTTAAATAAAACTATAAGAAATATCTTGTACATCTCTTTCAGTATATGTATAATAAATGGAAGGTGATAATAATAAGAAACAACGATAAAATTTCAGCTTATGGCTCCCTGACATTGAATTCGGGCTCCGCCCCTTAACCAATCCACTAGACTTCGACAACCGCTCATCATAGCCACCCCGCGGTCCCCACCCCGTCCTCCCACTCTCCCATGATTCAAAGGTAGAGTGCGAACAATAAATTTTCGTCATGTCTAGGAATTTGTTAATGATTATAAATGAGATGACGAATTTGAGAAAATTAGAAGAGCGCTACTATTTCCACCTCCTTGTATTATTTTTTCACCCCCCTTATCCTCCCACTCATCAAGAAAATAGGTAAAAACACAATCCTATCTTTTCACCCACCATTATACCTAAAATACCCTTTAATTATTAATTCTTTCTATCTCTCAATTGAGAGATGACAGTCAAGAAACTCAAGACACTGAGCTTATATAAAAATGCTTATTGGATTCCAAATAATAACGCATTAGTAAATTGATCTACCGTTTTTTTGATTTATATGTAAAAAGGACAACTTAAACATCTAATTTGCAGTTGTTAACAAATTAAATCATATCACTCAATTCCGTTAGTTTAAGTGCATGGCATGGCTAAAATTGTACTTTCACCTTTTACTTAACAAAGACTTAACTTTGAATAAAACTGTAAATAAAAAAAATATAAAAAAAAAAGCCATCCAAGCAAAGCACCCACCCACGGGCGAGAGGGAGGCCCCCGGGCCTTCCCCATTTCTTTTACGTCTATGTCAGTAAATGGAAGGTGATAATAAGGAACTATCATATTTCAACAAATATGACAACGTAACGTAGTCCTTTTAGATTTGGACCTCAACCCCTGTTTCGCCCACGCTCAAGGATTTCAAAACCAACATAGCAGAACCACAACGGTATGGTCAGCACTTTCCAACTCAACGCCAGTTTCGACGTTGCTCAAAGATTGACATATGTTCCGACCCCAAAAACCCAGCCACAAAGATGAAATTAAAAAATCCAAGATTCCTTTGTTTCGCCTGAATGGGAAACCCAGAAAAATGAGGGTACCGTTTATGTGTTCTTCCTCAAACTGAAAAACGATTAACAGGGGCGCTCTCTCTTTAGTGTTACAGTTTTTCCTCAATCAAAGCTGAAAAAAAAAAGGCCTCCTCATTGAACTGAGCGAACAACTGGTTTGGAGGGGACGTCTGTTTTGGAGGGGATGTTTTGGAGGGAGAAGAGAGAAGAAGGCCTCGTTCTAATACAACACTTACACTTACAATTGCTTTTCATACAGCCGTTAGATTAGATCCAACGGTGTTCTCATGTTATGTTCTCACATAAGGGTTCTCACTAGATCCCGACCCAATGTTAAAATGGTCCTTGTGTTTTACTCAATTGGCAAATTTAGTCCCAGTGTTTTCAATTTGACTAATTTAGTCCCCGTGTTTTACTTTGTTAACCAATGTTGTCCATTTCGTTAAATTACCATTAAAAAATTCATTTAAAATTTTTAAAAGTTCTATTTACAAAGAAAACAAATATGAATTTTAAAAAAAAAAAAAATTTAAAAAAAAAATCTGGAAACCCGACAGCCTCTATGTCCTTCTCTCATGCCACCACCACCACCCAACCCACACCACAACCACCATGAGCAGTCCCAAAAAACCCTTGGAGGGATAAAGAAATCTGGCCCGAGCCCTCCCTTCCCTCCCCGATCCATTCCACCCACCCCACAACTCCTCCATCTCTCTTCCCTTTTTCCATCCCACCCACCCCCACAAAATATGAGTGAAGATAAGATTCAATATCAGTATTGGCAGGCAACTGATGGTTGTGGTGTTGGGTTGGGTGGCGGCAGCATCATGAGAGAAGAAGTACACATAGTCTTGATGTCCCATTATTTGAGATTCAAATTTAGTGCACAATTTTGATGTTGTTAGCAATATTAAAAAAGTATATATATATTATTTTAATTGCCAGATTTTAAATTTTTTGGAGATTTGCCATATTGTACAGCATCGTATCCTGTGCAACAAAGGAAAGGAATATCATAAAATTTAGCACAAAATTGAGTACTATATGCCGTCTCTTTCATGGTACTTGGCTATCAGTAGCTTGATAGATGAAATCTAAAAATCGAGAAAAAGAAAAACAAAATTCAGGCAAGCCGGAGCCCTTACGTGAATTCCATAAAATCTCTCCTTTTTTTTTCTTTTTTTTCTTATATATATATATTGTGAAATTATGAGATATTATTCATAATTCAACCAAAAAAATCACTAATCACAAAGTGCCAATACAAACTAATGACAAAGAAACATTATAATTATAGAGAAATCTAACATCAAAATTAAGACAATCTTTGTACTTCTCCACTAACAATCACATAGGAAGAAAGAAACTATAGCATAGGCATTAGACAGGGAGACAATGCTGGAGTAGAAAGCAAAAAGGATGGGGAGGAGGTGAAGAGGAAAGGAAAAAGAGAGGAAGAGGGGACAAAAGTATCGTAGTCACCACCCAATGAAATATCTTTTTTGTGTCATTTCATACCTAAAATACCCTTTAATTATTAATTCTTTCTATCTCTCAATTGAGAGATGACAGTCAAGAAACTCAAGACACTGAGCTTATATAAAAATGCTTATTGGATTCCAAATAATAACGCATTAGTAAATTGATCTACCGTTTTTTTGATTTATATGTAAAAAGGACAACTTAAACATCTAATTTGCAGTTGTTAACAAATTAAATCATATCACTCAATTCCGTTAGTTTAAGTGCATGGCATGGGCAAAATTGTACTTTCACCTTTCATTTAACAAAGACTTAACTTTGAATATAACTGTTAAGAAAAAAAAAAATTAAAAACAGAAGCCATCCAAGCAAAGCACCCACCCACGGGCGAGAGGGAGGCCTCCGGGCCTTCTCCATTTCTTTTACGTCTATGTACAGTAAATGGAAGGTGATAATAAGGAACAATACAAAATTTTAGCTCATAGCCCCCCAAACATTGAATTCTGACTCCGCACCCCACCGTCCCCACCCCATCCTCCCACTCTCTCTCATGGTGAACATGAGCCGCTGAGCTTCAAGGGTAGGGTGCGAACAATAAATTTTATCTGATTGTTTTAAGATGAAATAGATCTGGCACATATCCAAAGCCTCCAAGGCTGCAAAAGTAGAAGAAAATTCTCTCTATTTTCTAAGTCCAGCCGCAAATAAGAAAAAGGATCAAATCCCTTTATGTTGGTCAAGTCTAGGAACTTGTTTTAAGATGATCATGATCATGATCAAGATTGCATATTGGAATTTCAATTTTGCCCATACACGCACGTAATGTATACTCAAACTGACGGAGTTGAGATATGTGACTTAATTTGTAACGACTGCAAATGAGATGACAAAATAGAAAATTGAAATTACAGTGACCAAAATTGTTTTCGAGCTCAACTCCAATAACCAAAAATATTATTTTATCCTTAAACAATTGCGACCAACCAAATCTCCAACTCGCTGCTCCTACATATACAAACCAGTAGCATCAAAAATATATACAAACCAGCTGTCTGTGGGCAACATAAATCTTCCAAAAAGACATGGCGCATTCAAGAAGAAACATGCTAGTGCAGTCTACAAACCAGCTGTCTGTGGGCAACATAAATCTTCCAAAAAGACATGGCGCATTCACGAAGAAACATGCTAGTGCAGTCTCATCACCCAATCCAACATGGCTGCTTCCTTTTCATCCTTTTATTCTCTTCCATTATTTCTATCAATATTCGTGCATGCAATTGCACTCTGTCTTTTCCTCCACCTTTTAATCGATCTGACGAAGCCCCTGAGCTATTCGGGATCACCGCTAAACATGGTATTCGGGCCTTCGTTCGGGTCCCCAAGGAAATTGTGTACACCGGACGTGGGAACACCGCCGGTGGTGGTATTTTTCCATCACTTCGGAAACACATCTCACCCACATTCACTTTATTATTATTTTCTGTTCGAACATGTATTTTATAATTTGAGTAATGATATTTCAACATACTAAATTTAACCGATCATATTATGTGGCATACTTTGCATGACACCTCAATTAATAGGGTTAGATGTTATTTAAGTTTTATTATTTTAATTGGAATTCAATTAAGTCTAATTTTTAGTCTACTCTAGCAGGGATCATAGCATAATGGCAATGAAATGCTTGGGAGTTTTTCCAAGTGGATATCGACTATGGAGCTAGTCTTTTCTGCAATTGACAGTTTACCAGGTTGCTCGCTCAATTTCAACTTTCAAGATTTGATTTTAATTAGTTATATATATATATATTTAAAGTTTAGATTTTTCGTAGGTGAATAAAAACATAAATAAGTTTTGATTGATCTCAAAATAAGAGTGTTCATGATCCCAATTGCAACTTAAGACATAGATAAAACTTTATTGGAAAATTTTAGCAGAGGCAATTGATGTTGCAGATTTTATTGCAAAACTTGCAACAGAAAAGGTGGGAGATTTGGTTTATTTCATATTATGCTAAGCTGTGATACCATCAGTTATATGTTTCACCAAAAATATTAATCATCTAATACGTCCCCAATACGGTAAGGACAGTCCCGATATGATTAGGATACATCGGTACTGGAGGGATGAATAAAAAAGAAGGAAAAAATAATCGTGTTCTTGCCCAAGAGGTTTCGGGGGCACTAGACAATAGGCCCACCCTCTTCTTTTTCACTGCATCTGCTGCACTAGGTTTTTTTTAGAGAGCAGATTTTTCTACTCCTCTTTTGTCTGCTTACACTTCCTTATTATATGTTATAGTAAAAAGTATTCAAAACCAAAATGGAGTGTAAGTGAATAAAAAAGGAATGGGAAAATCAGCACCATTTTTTAAAGTTTTATCTTAACTTTTGCTCTCTAGCTTTTTCCTTGTTCCTCAATCCTCTCTTTATTTTCAACTTTCAACTTTCAACAGTCTCTTCCTTTTTTGACTTCTTCATTTCTTTCTCTATTTTTAAACCAAGGAGATTCATCCCACATGGGGACGCTTTGAAGCCTAGTGGAACTTCTTTTCGTGCGTGGACTTGGAAAGGCTAATTGGGTTCATAACTGCCTAAGAATTTGGTTAACTTTCTATTATTGACTCTTGCGTTAATTAAATCACATGGTGTAATTTAACTAAATTAAAAATTGATGATATGTCCGGTGGATGTTGTATCATTTGTGATCCAAATTTAGTGCACAATTTTGATATATATTATTAGCAATATTGAAAACATATATATTGTTTTAATTGTCGTGCATATTCTAAATTTTTGGAGTATCGTATTCGGTACAACAAAAGAAGGGAATATTATAAACCAATTGTTTTAGCGCAAAATTGAGTATACTATGTCATCTCTTTGAAGGTACTTGGCTATGAGTAGCTTTATAGATGAAATCTCAAAATCGGGAAAAAGAAAAACCAAATTTAGCCAGGCAGCTCACATAAATTCCATGAAATTTGTTTTTCTTTTTTTCTTTTTTTTTCTTTTTTTAAGAAATTTTGGGATTGCAGTCATAATTCAACCAAAAAAAGCCACTAGTTACAAAGTGCCAATATAAACTAACGACAAAGAAACATTACAATTATGGAGAAATTTAATATTAAAATTAAGACAATCTTGGCGCGTCTCCACTGAAGATCATGCGGGATTAAAGAAACTCTAACATAGGCATCTGCAAAGATTTATTATAGAATTACACCATAAACGAGCTGAAGAAGCAGAGAATGAGACAATGCTGGAGGGAAAGCAAAGAGAATGGGAAGATGAGGAGGTCAAGAGGAAAGGAAAAAGAGAAAAAGAATGGACAAAAAGTATTTTTGGCACCACCCAATGAAATCTCTTTTTAAGTCATTTCAAATTTGAAACTTCATGTCAAATTCCATGTAACACAATATTTTCCAAGTCAACAAGTCCATCACACCCAACGAGGTCTTGCGATTTGTATTGTATTGTTGTAGGTGTTTCCCACTTTCTCGATTAGTGAGTGATGTTTTACCTTCTTATCAAAGTTTCAACATTTTTATTGGGTTTAAATTAAGGATAAAAAAATATTTTTTTGTTATTGGGGTTGGGTTTGAAAACAATTCTGATCACAGTGATTCTAATTTTTCCAATTTCATCATTGTAATTGCAGTGGTTAATAAATTAAGTCACATCTCTCAATTCTATCAATTTGAGTGCATGTGATGTGTGTTTGCATGGACAAAATTGTAATTTCACCTTTCACTTAATAGAGACTTAAACTTTAAATAAAACTATAAGAAATTTCTTGTACATCTCTTTCAGTATATGTATAATAAGTGGAAGGTGATAATAATAAGAAACAACGATAAAATTTCAGCTTATGGCTCCCAGACATTGAATTCGGGCTCCTCCCCTTAACCAACCGACTAGACTTCGACAACTACTCATCATAGCCACCCCACGGTCCCTACCCCATCCTCCCACTCTCTCATGATTCAAAGGTAGAGTGCGAACAATAAAGTTTTGTCATGTCTAGGAATTTGTTAATGACTACAAATGAGATGACGAATTTGAGAAAATTAGAAGAGCGCTACTATTTCCACCTCTTTGTACTATTTTTTCACTCACCTTATCCTCCCATCCATCATGAAAATTGGTAAAAACACAATCCTATCTTTTTCACCCACCATTATACCTAAAATACTCTTTAATTATTAATTCTCTCTATCTCTCAATTGAGAGATGTCAGTCAAGAGAATCAAGACACTGAGCTTTGATAAAAATGCTTATTGGATTCCAAATCATAACGTATTAGTAAATAGGGATGAATATCTTGAACTAAATTGATCTACTACTTTTTTTTTGGTGGTGAAAACCAAGGTATCCCCCGCGCGATTGCTGGGACTAACCCTCGAGGTACTGTCGGGCGCAAAGCGGGGACCTCTCCCAACAAAGTCTGCACTATTCGCAAGCGCCTGGGATTGAACCCAGGACCTCTTGTTTAAAGGATCCAAGCCCCTTCCACTTGGACCAACTCCTGTTGGTATCTACTGCTTTTTTGATTTACATGTAAAAAGGACAACTTAAACATCTAATGATGTCTTCATCAGAAGAAAAATTGGGATAAAAGCCATAATCAACCTCGACGTTTCCGGGAGTGCAGCAGGCCTCGACGACGAAGACGAGGAGCGTTCTCTGCCGATAGTTGTCTCCGGCGAGATTTTATTCCATTTCCGGCAGACACAACGTTCTCCGGCGAAGTCCTTCTTCCTCTCCTTTTGAAAACACACATCTCCTGCTACTCCGAGACAATTACGAAATGGAGAAAGCCAAGTGAGGGCCTTATACGAAAAGCCAACGACAAAACCAAAGGCATCAACTTATTTTTTCTGGGTGGTGAGGCGGTTGGATTTGGTCGGGATGAAGGGTGGGGTTTGACACGGGATGAGGGAGAATAGGGGTTTTTTTCTAAGTCCTTAAAAATTATTTTACGAAGGGTAAATTTGTCTTTAAAATTTTGAAGATAAAGTGAATACGGAAATAAGATTAGGGATGAAAATAGCAGCACTTAATTGAAATTACGGTGCCTAACTCCAATAACAAAAAATATTCTTTTACACTAACTAATTGCCCCCAACCCACTCTCCCACTTGCTGCTTCCACATATATACAAACCAGTAGCATAAAAAAATATATACAAACCAGCTGTCTGTCGGCAAAATAAATCTTTCAAAAAGACATGGCGCATTCACGAAGAAACATGCTAGTGCAGTCTCATCACCCAATCCAACATGGCTGCTTCCTTTCCATCCTTTTATTCTCTTCCATTATTTCTATCAATATTCGTGCATGCAATTCCATCCTGTCTTCTCCTCCTCCTTTTGATCGATCTGACCAAGCCCCTGAGCTATTCGGGATCACCGCTAAACATGGTATTCGGGCCTTCGTTCGGGTCCCCACTGCAACCAGATACACCTCTATTTCCCTCAATAACAAAGGGAACACCGCCGGTGGTGGTATGTTTCCCTCACTTCGGAAACACATCTCACCCACATTCACTTTATTATTAACAGGGTTAGATGTTATTTAGTTTTATTGTTTTAATTGGAATTCAATTAAATCTAATTTTTATTCTAATCTAGCAGGGATCATAGCATAATGGCAATTAAATGCTTGGAAGGAGCTAGTCTTTTCTGCGATTGACAGTTTATCAGGTTGCTCAGGAAGGGTGGCTTTGATGAATTTTTTTTTTTTTTTTTTTTTTTTTTTCTAAATCCTTAAAAGTCATTTTAAAAAGGTAAATTTTTCTTTAAAATTTTGAAGATAAGATGAATGCGGGAATAAAATTAGAGATTTTCTATTTAAACCCTGCACTTCTTTTTGTTCACCCCAATACTTAACCCTAGTACATCTATACACACACTCCACCACTCTTCATATTAAGTTTTAGAAAAATACATACTTCTCTACATCCTATTGCCAAATTACTCTTCTCTTTTACACCTTCATTATCTTCCCTTTTTATCTCTTGTAAAATATAGGTATGCTTTTGTTTCAATGTTACAACTAATTGTGAAGAAAGAAAACTATATAACGATTATCATCTTAAATGCCATTTTTACTGTAGTAATGTTCTCAAATAGCAAATGACATCATTATATCATATAATCTCAATAGGCTAAATGTCACTTTTCCGTTGGGTAAAAAATAAAAGAAGATGTTGTAGTCATTGATTTTCACTGTCATCATATGATTTAAGTATTGGGGTGAACAAAGAAAATTGTGGGGGTTTAAATAGAAAATCTCTTTTATTTCTTTTTTTTTTTTAATAACTTGGGGTGTATTTAAGGGTAATTTGGGAAGATAGTGGGGTTTTCTTGGAAATTGTGAAAATTTAAATTAAAAGTTTGGGTGAACTAAGAGAAGTGTGGGGTTTAAATAGAAAATCTCTAAAATTAGGGGTGAAAATAGCAGCATTCAGTTGAAATTGCGGTGCCTTACTCCAATAACAAAAAATATTTTTTTACACTTAACTAATTGCCCCCCAACCCACTCTCCAACTTGCTGCTTCTACATATATATATATATATACAAACCATTAGCATAAAAAATATATACAACCCACCAGCTGTCCGTTGGCAAAATAAATCTTTCAAAAAGACATGGCGCATTCACGAAGAAACATGCTAGTGCAGTCTCATCACCCAATCCAACATGGCTGCTTCCTTTCCATCCTTTTATTCTCTTCCATTATGTCTATCAATATTCGTGCATGCAATTCCATCCTGTCTTCTCCTCCTCCTTTTGATCGATCTGACCAAGCCCCTGAGCTATTCGGGATCACCGCTAAACATGGTATTCGGGCCTTCGTTCGGGTCCCCACTGCAACCAGATACACCTCTATTTCCCTCAATAACAAAGGGAACACCGCCGGTGGTGGTATGTTTCCCTCACTTCGGAAACACATCTCACCCACATTCACTTTATTATTAACAGGGTTAGATGTTATTTAGTTTTATTGTTTTAATTGGAATTCAATTAAATCTAATTTTTATTCTAATCTAGCAGGGATCATAGCATAATGGCAATTAAATGCTTGGAAGGAGCTAGTCTTTTCTGCGATTGACAGTTTATCAGGTTGCTCAGGAAGGGTGGCTTTGATGAAGGATGATGATAAAGGAGATGAGCAATTTGTTTCTGCTCTCCTCTGTAGAAGTCTTCTATACGCAAAGCCGTTACTTTATTTCCGATAGAAAGCTGGCCCGCTGTTGTTGGGAAGTGAAATTACATAATTGTCCCATTTCAACTCATGCATATATATTTTTATTTTATTTTTAAAGTTTAGATAAGTTTAGATTTTAAATGGTTTATTTCATATTATGCTAAGCTCATACCATCAGTTATATGTTTCACCAAAATAAATAAATAAAGATGCTTAAAGTTTGTTCTGCTAAAATTTCTCAAAGTCTCAAATGTGATACAATAATTTATTGGGAAGAAAATAAAGATGTTGGTATCCCAATTGGAAGTGACATAAATTTATGACGAGAATGTAGCAATTGAAACAAATGAAGAATCGAAAATGATTGAATCTAGAAGAATCATAGATACTGGGCCAACCAAGGTAGCTCCTGGCTGTCCTTGAGTGCAAATGCCACATAAAATCATCGTCGCTGAAAGACAGACATAAAATTATATGAGATCACAGAATAGTCCAAGGTTTTCTTCTGAGGGTAATGCAGTTGCATGAAAGGGTGAACCATCAAAGCCAAAAGTTCAAAGTAGCTGGATTAAACAGAATTCTAATAGATATCACAAGTTTTGGGAGAGGGATGATGTAAAGAGCTGGACAGAAAACTAACCTTGGAAAATTGAGCTGCAACTTCTGCAACCTATGCTTTGCTCCCGATTCACATAAAACAATTCTGCACTCCCCAAGCTTACAACTGCCAAAAATGTACAATTCAGATATTAAATAATCCATGCTTATATAAAGTTAGTATCAACTCCAGAAATTAACCTCTAATCGTTCTCACTAACTATTCTCTAGAAAGGCTAGCCTCCGAGGCTCCTATAAATACATGGCTATACCAAAGGTTGAGGTACGTCTAAACTTCTGTCTGAAACCCTACAGAAATTCTATCTCACAAACCCTAGCCGCCATAACTCTCTCTCTCTCACACAAGGCTCCGGCCACCCGGTTCACACCATACATACATCTCCGTACCCATTTGTTAGCTATTGTTTTTCTATAAACACTCGAACTAACTTAGGCATCAGAGGACCTTTGGCCAATACCCCCCGGATGTGGTCCTCTTATTCCAATTTGTTTTGCAGGGAGAAAGAGAAGCAAAGAAGAAGACGGAATCTTAGACAAATATTCTAGTGGGACGAAAATCGCTCCCATAGTTACTCGACCATAAAACTATTTAGCTATCTGGATCTCATGTATTTCATATTAGGGATGCATATTAATGTAGTAATCACTGCGTCATATGCCTCACTCAAGAGTGTTGTTTACCTCTTCTAAGATGTAACATACCATTTAAATAAAAGAAGTTTCTCCAACAGAAATCATTTTTTATAATGACTGTAAGATATAATCTGACTCACTTGAATATGAGGTGCCTGGAACATTTCTTGTATGGCTGCTTCAACCTCTGCCATTCCAACAAGTGATTTTCCTGCAAAGTGGGTACATATAAATCCTGCAAAGTGGCTAATAACGCTTCTAAACAAAGCAAGCACATAGAGTTTTGTTGTAAAATTGGCTCACATTTAGTATGCAAGCGAAGGAGTGAGCGACCGGTCGCAAGGTTTGGGCGACCGGTCGTTTAGAAGCAGATTCGAAGTCTGAAGAATGCGCAGAAAGCGACCGGTCGCAGGTATCCGCGACCGGTCGCAACGTATCAAAAACGTATCCGCGACCGGTCGCTTCAGTGCTGTGCTGATGTTTTCCTTACGTGTTTTCAACTACTTTTTCGGTGGCTATCGCTTTCCACAAGATTGCAGGTGTTTAATGGGTCACTTCTGAGTTAAAAGATGGTGGACTACCTGCTGAATAGTTGGGAGAGCACTCATTGCCAATTGGTTGTCTTGCTTTGAGGAATCCATTCTCCATTTTCTGGTTTTGTGGAAGGTGGCTGAAGTGGGATTATATTACCTACTTGTTCTAACCTCTAGTCTAAGTGGGTGACTAAAGGAAGGAACGTGGAGGACAAGCTGATACCTTATCTCTTGTCCATTGGTTTGTGTGGGTAATGGAGATAAAGCAAAGACATTATAAGATGAGAAAGCAAGTTGAAGTGAGGTGTGGTTAATCTCAAGGTGGTCAAGTAGCTGGGTGCTATTGTGTTCAAAGGAGGTTAACTCACCAAGGGAGAACGTGAGGGAGAGCAATCAGTTCAAGTTAGGAGCTGAGTTGGGGTCTTGAGAGTCTAGACACCAAGGAGGGAAACACCAAGGGTTGTGAGAGTGTTCACAAGTGCATCAAAGTGTTGAGCAAGGGGTGTGAGAGAAAAGAGAGCTTGGGGAGAGAATAGAGTTCTAAGGGGGTTTTTTTCTGTGTAAAACCAAAGTTGTAACTTATTCTTTCATGAAGTGAATTTCTCAAGGGGATCACCAAGAGGATGTAGGCAATTGCTGAACCTCTATAAATTCTTGTGTCACTTTGTGCTTGGTTGTTGTCTCAAGTGTGTGTGTGTGATTCATCCATCATTGTGTGTGTCACAAAGTCCATCAACAACAAGATCATTAGGGGAGTGAGTGAAAGTGTTTTGTCCATTTTCACAACAGTCTCATCCCCTGAAGCTGCAGAGTTATTCTTGAAAACCCATGACACCATTTTTGCCAGCCGCCCCAAAGTCCAATCCTCCGACTACTTGTTTTACGGCACAAAGGACATGGTTTTCAGTGAATATGGTCCGTACAGGCAGCATATTAGGAAGTTGTGCACGCTGCAGCTTCTTGTTCATCAAAGATTGAGACTTTTGCTCCATTGAGGAGGGAAGAGGTAGGTTTGTCGG